CTCCGCCAGCGCCGCCACCTTGGCCTTCCTTCATGGCCAGTCATAGGCATGCTCCCCTCCCTCTTCGTCGCCCTCCGAAGTAACAACATGTACGAGTGGCTCACCGACGTGCTCAACAACAAGGGCGGCACCTTCACCTTTCGCGGTCCTTGGTGCAGCAGCCTGCAATGCGTCCTGACTTCAGACCCACGAAACCTCGAACATCTTTTGAAAACAAAGTTCATCAACTTTCCCAAAGGCGAGTATTTTCGCAACACTGTGCGTGACTTTTTAGGTGACGGTATTTTCGGTGCGGACGACGATACATGGAAGCGTCAGAGGAGGACGGCGAGCATAGAGTTTCACTCTGCAGAGTTTCGCGCTCTGACAGCGGGATCTTTATATGAGCTTGTCCATTCAAGACTCATCCCGGTTCTTGAATCAGCACACAGGAAGAATTCTCCCATTGATCTTCAAGATATCCTCTTAAGACTAACTTTTGATAATGTCTGCATTATTGCATTTGGTACTGATCCTGGATGTCTTGCACCTGGATTACCTGACGTACCCTTCGCGCGTGCTTTTGAAGAAGCTACAGAAGCGACGATTATAAGGTTTGTGACCCCGACTACGATATGGAGAACTCTTCGGTTTTTGGATATAGGCAACGAGAGGAAGCTGAAGAGATCGCTGAAGGACGTTGATGAGTTTGCTTACGAGGTTATCAGGACGAGAAAGAAGGAGCTGGAGCGCGAGAGTAAAGAGAGGTCGGACCTCCTGACCGTGTTTATGAGGCACAAGGATGAAGATGGTAATAAGTATTCAGAGAAGTTTTTAAGGGATATATGTGTAAATTTTATTCTGGCAGGCAGAGATACGAGCTCGGTGGCGTTGGCTTGGTTCTTTTGGTTGCTGGAGAAGAGCCCTGAAGTTGAGGAGAAGATTGTTGAAGAGGTAAGAGGGATTGTGAAGGAGAGAAGAGAGGAAATTAATGTTGACGACAATATGAATGTTGTGTTCAAGCCTGAGGAAGTGAAGAGGATGGAGTATTTGCAGGCTGCTCTCTCTGAGGCTCTCAGGTTGTATCCTTCTGTTCCTGTGGATCACAAGGAGGTAAAAATCACTGACATTTTGCACGTAAGAGCATGCAGAGTTGAGCTAGGTTACTATATCCAACCTGCAGATACTATCAGTCCAAGTTAAATGATTCAAACTGCAAATTAAAATTCTAGTCCATAGATATGATCTTATCGAATAAGCGATTTCAAAACAGGGTTTATCCATGCATATAATGAAAAATTAACACTTCAGAATTTTCATAATCTGGCTTACTTACAAACTATGTTCATGTATGTGTTACGTTTATCAGGTCATCTCAATTAGCATGGTGTCTGGAGGTAATTTTCTTTAATATTTAAATAATAGGGTAATATGTCTTCATTTGGTCATAAGATTATCAGGTCAGAATAGGTGCCAGATATATGAAAGGTTCATACTTTTGTGCAACAGAAATAGGGTGATCATACTTGCAGTGTAGTCCAATACCAAATTGACCCCTTAATTATATCAGGATATTAATTTGAATCCAACCACACGCAGTCCTAATGTCCCTAATCATTTACTCAGCTGAGCTGTAACATGCAAGATCAAACAAAATTGCCCATCACTACATGAGTAATAGCTGACTGAGTCTCTGAGTAAAATAAATTCACTACAGTTTTAGTAGAATTCCTTCATGAATCATGCGTGTTGCAGTACAAATTTTCTAACAGGAAAAAAAAAAAACTCTTTCTCAGGACTCCTCATGAAAGGAGGCATTCAAGATACTAACTACATCCTACCTACTAATATCTTTAGTACAAGCACCACTATCATGATTAAGATAAAACTAACATATCCATCTTCAATCGACCAGGTTGTACAAGATGAAGTGTTCCCCGATGGAACTGTACTAAAGAAAGGAACAAAGATCATCTATGCTATCTACTCGATGGGGAGGATGGAGAGCATATGGGGAAAAGACTGCAGAGAGTTCAAACCCGAAAGATGGCTTAAAGACGGAAAATTCATGAGCGAGTCTGCCTACAAATTCACTGCATTCAACGGAGGGCCGAGATTGTGTTTAGGCAAAGATTTCGCCTATTACCAGATGAAGTATGTTGCAGCTTCAATTTTATATCGCTATCATGTGACTGTTGTCAAGAATCATCCAGTGGCACCAAAATTGGCACTTACAATGTACATGAAGCATGGATTGAAGGTGACACTTGAGAAGAGGGTATCATAGTTTCTCAAAGGGGAAAGAGAAAGCTAAGGCAGATAATAATCTTGAAGATAACATAGCTCGAGGATGAACTTTGAGCTCTGTTTCATCTGATATCGCTTATGTTTGTGGAGTGTATTGTTAGGATATGTTGTGTAAATTCTTTCTCTGTAATAGTCTTCAAAGTTCTTTCTTTGACATGATACATGTATGCGGATTGTAGAGTGATATATATATACATGTTGTGCGTAGCGGAGCTCGAAAGCCAAATAGTACACGACAAGACAACGAGAAAGATCACAACCAAACATAAGCACAAATCACAAACACAGCAAGACAACGAATTTTACATGGTTCAGAAATTAAGAGAACACAAATAGGGTTACAAAACTCACCAATAAACCGTCAAACAAATCTCTCTAGATCTCTCACAAATCCTCCAACAATTAATGTACAATCCTCTATCAAAAGCTGCTCAAAAAACGTCCTTTTATAAACCCTAGAAGTCAACGGGTTCCTATTTATATCAAACCCAAACAGAATCCAAACAAGAAACCAAACTATGCAAAAAACACGTCGTAAGACGACTTATCAGTGGGAACAAGTCGACTTAACGGTCTCTATAAGTCGACTTGACCGAGCGCAAAATAACAACTGGAGAGCAGAACGTAAGTCAACTTAACAGTGTCCATAAGTCGACTTGACCGAGACGAAACTGGCAACTGGAGGGCAGAATGTAAGTCGACTCATGCATGAGTCGACTTATGATAGAAAATCCGGTTTTTTCTGCTTCCTTTCTTGAGTTCTCCACAAATCTTCACATCGGTGAAGTTTCTCCCAAAACTGAGCCAACACCAAATCATCCAAATGTCCCACTTGTTACGTCCAGTACGAAGTGGAATCTACCCACGACATCAGACTCAATCCACAACAAGTCGGGAACCTAAACGAGAGCTCAAATAATCTCCTCCCCTCTAAATCAACAAATCCAACCGGCTGTATCGAAAAGACTGTCTACGTATCCTCTTGGCTAAGGAATCAAACCGAACGTAGTTCACCCAAATGACCTCCAAATGCCCTCAACATTGAAGAATGTTAAATAGCTTTAAAAAATGATCAAATTTCACACCTGAAACAATTTTGGTCAACATATCCGCATGGTTATCCTTCGTGTGGATCTTCTCCAATATGACGTCTCCATCATCCAAAACATCACAAACAAAGTGAAATTAACATCAATATGCTTCGTGCATGCATGATAAACCTGGTTTTTCACCAAATAGATAGCCAACATGCTATTATAATATACTCGAAGGGTCTCCTGTGCAATCCCCAAGTCCTCCAACAATTCATACAACCACAAAGCCTCCTTCACAGTAATGTCCTTCAAATCTGATATGATCCTATCGAACTTGTTGATGTACTCCCGGATTGACGAGCCTTCCTCCATTTGTAAGTATACAATTTGGATTTCAAGAAGATCCGATTTGTTAGACTATTCGTCATGAAGGTACTCTCTAACTTTGACCATACACCCGCAGCCATTTCCTCTCCATCTACCAAAAAAGCAACATCCCTCTCAAGGCATAGCATAATCGACGCTCGTGCTTCGAGATCTAACTCTTCCCAATCCTCATTGGACATATCTTTGTGCTTCTTGCTTCTTCTCTTTTCTTACAAAAGTCTTGTGCAATTTCTGTAAAATCAGCGAATTTTTCATCTGCATCCTCCAATAGGAAAAATTATTTTTCCCATTGAATTTTTCAATCTCGTACTTTCTAACTTTAAATGTTTTACTTGTAGACGTTATTCTCCGCTTATATTAATAAAACCACTTCTCTCAGGAATTTTAACAAATACCTTATGTTTACTACACAATAACCAAGCATCACCTCAGATCAGAAATTCTACCACCACCATGCTGAATAAAGGACTCTGATACTAATTGTTGGGAGCGATGAATGCTCACTTAAACACTACGTAAGCTAAATCACCCAGAGAAAGAACAACAAGCAATAATGAATACACAGATAAAACAATAAGTAAATCAGACGAGACAGATTTACGTGGTTCGAAAAACTTGTCTACGTCCACGGGAACCACACAAATAATTTCTTATTTAACCATAAGAAATTACAAACTTGCATAGAGAAGATCTCAAACTTAAGATCTCTCAAATGGATGCTAATCTACACTATAGCTACAGTGTAGATCTCTCTCTTAACTCCTCCTCTTTAATTACTCAACTTCCCCCTCTTTAATTCCTGAGAGCCGGGACAAATGGGAGCTCAAAATCGCAAAGGGAAAATAAATGCCGCCGCCAAGAAGCTCTACTGAGAAACCGCTCAAGCTCAGCTCTCTCTGTCCGCTCAAGCTCCTCTCTCTCTCTCTCTCTCTCTCTCTCTCTCTCTCTCTCTCTCTCTCTCTCTCTCTCTCTCTCTCTGTTCGCTCAAACGAAACAGGCGAGTTCTGCACCTCGCCCGATATAGGTGAGCCTCCTCACCCTACACGCGAGCTTCCACGCCCCACCTTCGCCTGTCCAGCTCTCACCTACAGGCGAGCTCGTCCTCGCCTCCCAAGATTCAAGCGAGCATCCTCCTTTGGGGGATGTCCATTCTCAGGCGCCTGCTCGCCCTCGCCTCCTCACGAAGGTGCGTTCTTCATGAGAGATGATAGAGGAAAAGTTATATCTGCTTTGGCTGAGAAAGTACATGGATTAGGCTTGCCACAATTGTTAGAGGCTATGGCTATCTAAGTGCTTTGAGAGTTGCAAGGAATTTGGAGCTAGAGGCGATTGAGGTTGAATCTGACGCACTCGAGGTAGTGCCAGAGCTGCAAATGGGTGGAAATTAGGCAAAATATTATGGGCATTTTGTGGATGCGGCTACTCAACTAGCTCGGACATTTTGATCCTTCTCTTCTAGTCACATTGGCAGAGCTCGCAATATATGGTAGATGTTGATGTCTGATATCACACAGTCGAGGGGGTTACGGTTCTAGTCTTCGCGCTGGCGGCGAATAGGAAAAGGATGAGAGATAGGGCTGACTCCTCCTCCGACTTTATACCCGATCATTAGACTGGAATTCCTAATCCTTCTGCGCAAACAAGGAGAAACCCGTGGGAGAGAGGGGCTCATTTCTCCCGTGGTACTTCCGACGGTCAAGTTAACTAGTGAGCTTGAGTGGGGTTTGAGGGAGAGTCCCTGGGCCATTGAGGTCCTTAGAGGATACTCTTTGAGAGATATTAGCTTTTTTCACAAAGGTAAAAATCAGAGCTTTAGTGAAGTAGCCGCAGAAAAGATATACCTCTCCCTCCTTTTACCTTCTTTCCTCCCTTTTATAGCCCGTCGCCTCTGAGAGTTTGACCATTTGGCTTTGACTATGCACAGGAGGCGGTTGGGGGGTGAGCAGGCAGACTGTTGAGTCGTCATTCTCCGTCCAGATATCGGCTGGCAATTGGAAGGAAAGTCATTTAAGTATAGGAAAGAAATGTCTGCTTAGTATCCTGGATTTGACAGATGTGACAGGACAAAGGATAAGCCAGCTGCTTGGTCGTCCTTCCCCCCTCCAGATGGAGGCTAGTGATTGGAGGGGGAGTCATTCGAGGCCAGGGGAGCATCATGGCGATCCCTGGGAAATGACCTGTGAGTAGAATAAGCGGCTTAGGTACGTGATTTGTCAGAGCGGAGATCTTAATGGGACTGATCAATGCTATAGCGCCGATTGACATCTGAAGCGAGCTTAGCTGGATCTCATCCCCTTAGTAGAGGTGGGTTGGTTCGTGAGTTGTCTTTATGATTTCTCGACCCGACAGCCGAGTGAGCTTCGGGTCGAGTGTATGGTCGAGACGTCTGCTCGAGGAGTCGTCTTAATTACGGGGATCGACTGATCCCGTACTTCGAGTCGGTAATGATGACCCTTGGTCAAAAAATGACTCGTCTGTTCGGTTGGCCGATAGACTTGCCCTTGGCTGGGCTTTTGGGCCTCTAAGCTGGTTTGGACCATGGTTTTTTTAAGCTTATACAAACAATCTTTTGGTATCTTCATCTTTAGATGGTAAATTACCATAACAGTAGATTACGCTCCGGCTCAACACGATCTTCGCATTTCTAATTCTGTGCATTGGTCAAAGATGATTCCTAACTTTTTGATTGCCAGTTTGGAGATAAACTGTGTACTCGTTGATTTAGTTTAATGAAAAATTCTTTATTTCCATAATAAAAAAAACTTTTTACAAGGACATAATTATGAATTAGGAAATGTTTGCAGCAAAAAATTTTTGTTATCTGCAAACTAGAGAAATAATTCTGCGCAAATAAGAGGCTAACCAGAAATTTGATGGAATTTACATGAAAGATTTTACCAGCTAATGGTTGCAAAGTGTTGCAAACAGTAACTCTAAAGAACATAGAATCTATGTGGGAAATGCAGTGCATTTTTAATTCAAAATGGAAAATATCTCCGTTCCTCTCGATATTGCATTCATTCATGCAATTGAAGAGACGAGTATATATGTTTACGTAAGCTAGTCTTTAAGTACTGGAAGGCTACTTAAATGAGAGTTATATTTTCTATGTAGAACCTATTGCGGATATACTCACGAAGAAACCGGATAACCAAAAGCTCAAACAGGGGCTCAACAGAAGAAAATAATTTACAATGAAGAACGAGTCATATATCCCAAACCGTACGTCCAAATTGGCCTAATTATATATGTAAATCGGGTAATTTTTTGAGATGGAATCAGCCAAACCATCTGTTGTTCAGTTTGCCGCCGTCTATTTTGTGAAATTCCCTCCAGATTGAGAGATATCATAGTTTTTGTTAGTTTTTTACTATTTTAGGTAATGTTTTAGGTGTATGTTTACTATTTTAGGTAATGTTTTAGGTGTCTGTTCTGATTAGGAAACAAATCCGATTTGATTCCAAATTTGAACGTTTTGCTTCCCCAGCCATAGATAATATTTTAAGGAGAGTTTTGTACTTTTTATTGTTGGTAAAGTTCGGGTTCTAGTAGGAGCCTTATTTATTTTCTATTTAAGTAGGAGATTGTAATCTCTAGAGGCATAACTTTTCATCAATAATTTTCTTTTTAATATTTTCTTCATAATTTTGAATTTTTTCGTGGATTTGGAGATAGTTCTTATGTGGTTCAAAGAACAAACCTGTGAGTGGGGGCCACTGACGCGTGACTCTTTTCCAGCCTCCCACACCCGATAGCCAACAAGCCGGCCCACCTGAATATTGGAAT